CAGATGACCATGGAGTCTCTGCCCTACAGCCTCCTCTCAGGATGGCAGCAGGTTTGAACTCAGGATAATCGACTAAATAGCCCTCAGTTCTCAGTGGATGCATTTTACTACCGTAATCCATAGTACACTGCCACCACCCACCCTTCTGAGCAAGTCCCTTGTTAAGCCTGTATTCGCAATTATTAATAGTTGTCACCTTAAGTATGCAACACCTGCCAGCTTTTACAAAGACTGACAGGACCACCATGTCTCTCAGTCAAATATATGTCTGGCCATGCAGGTTGACTATTAGCATTACAGGACAGAATATCTTTGGAATGTCCTCAGGGCTACAGACAGATGTGTTACCATCACAAATGGACCATACTAACATGTGCCCCATGTCCCTCAATGCCTAGGGTGGGAACCTTCCTCATGCCTCAGCTTTAAGCTCTCTATCTCAAGGCAATAGACATTCAACAGAACAAACAACAAACCAAGTCCTGATAATTTCTTACCAGCTCCTTCAGGCTGTCAAATTTAGCTAGATGGGCCTTTAGATTCATGCAGGAGGTCTGGCTGGATGTCCAGTTACTTGTGACTTCAGAAAAATAAAAACATTTACTTCCAAATTCAATCCAGTCTCTTGAGCAATTGGCATGACCAGCTTCAGGGTTTGTAGTACCTGTTTTTTCCTTTCTCACTAAAATATACAAAATGCAGTGACATGTCATAAATAAACATTTCCATGAATTTTCTCTTCAGCTAACCACCCAATCTCAGTTGAGGTGTGTGTTTGGACTATAGCTTTCAATACTGATCACTAAGAGACTCCTCCTAGCATGGTCATCTCCCATCAAGAGCCTTCATGTGGCACTCTACAGAAATGTCTTTCTTTTCTTCTTTGTACTTATAGTTTGGGGACAGAATCTATGTCCTCCTGCCTGGTTCAGATCTCACTCTGTGGACTGTACTTGTCTGGATTTTGTAATATTCCTGCTGGCTGTACCTCTTGAGTGCAGGGACTAAAGAATCCAATACCTTGCACAAAATCATAGGTTCTTAAAACATTAGGACTGTTCCTGATTGCTGGAATCCTACAGGCTCCTTTCTTATAATCCTCCTTCACATCCTCCTTTTGTAATGAGAAAATAAAGAAAACTCCCTCCTTCTCTGGATTTAACTATGGATAAAATACAAACAAGCAAAACATGACATGGTCAAAATAGTTTTTTGATACCAAAACTTTGATCAAGGACTTAATGTTATCATATACACACACATTAAATCCATATGAAAATATACTGGCATCATTAGAGGCTGTCAGAATGGCAATCATCAAGAAATCTCACAACAGATGTCAGAGCTCTGGGCAGAAATTGGGACACTTATTCACTGGAGAAAGTATAACTTATACATCCAGTATGGAATCTCCTTTAAAAATTACAATTAGACCTTTTGTGACAAAGCTATGCCAAACCTGGGCAAATATCAAGAGAAAACTACATCATAACACAGAGATACTTACACATCCATGCTTATTAATAGCTCCCCTATTTACAATAGTAACAAAATGAACCTGACCAAGATGCCCATCAACTGACTAACAGAACATGAAAATGAATTACATGTACAAACACAATGTTATTTGGACATAAAGAAAAATGAAAGTTGCAGCAAAGTGGAGGACCTAGAAAATATAATATTAAATAAGGTCACACAAACTCAGAAAAGACCCCATGCACTCCCCCATATACTTATCCTAACCCATAATGTACAGTGTAAACAGCTGTGAGTGTGGGCATAGTGTAACATGAAGAACAAGGAAGAGTAGTGTAAGGTGAAGAGGAAGGACAGGATGCAGCAAAGGACACATAAGCTATGAATAGAGTTGTAAAGAGCATTATTTTTCTAGTTTCAACTTTGCTGGTGTTTTTTTTTCTAGTTTGTGGCTGGTAAGTGTATAAAAATGTAAATACAGCGAAAGTCTAAAACCATGACCAAAGTTCCTTGGCTTCAGGTTGTCTATTCTAACTGTGTGGAAGTTCAGTGAGATAGATAGAATTTGGGACTTGGCAAGTGTTGGAATGGTTATGTTGTGTGTGTGTGTGTGTGTGTGTGTGTGTGTGTGTGTGTGTGTGTGTGTGT